GGGTGGTGGTCGCCGCCGCCTCTTCTGGGGGAGTAGTCTTTTGCTGCGCCCGTTTGTCCCGGGAGAAAGCCGCTGCTGCGTTCAAGCACTGCTGGGGGGGGGGGGGGGGAGGGGGGTGGGGTTCAACTCCAGTGTTCCCTTCTGATGTGAAACCAGACACAAACGCGTCGGGATGTTTGTGTCCTAATTAATGCATTTAACTCCGCATTGGTTTGGTGGATTGAAAGCGGTTCTCACGTTCGCGATGCATGGATCCAATCGTGCACGCTGTCTGTTGATTGTGGTTTATGCAAATGATATGCTCATGTTGGTGAAAATATCGCTCGCCACTAATTTTAACCGGTCCCCAGGATCAGATTGCATTTAGCCGGGTTTGCATAGACCAGAGGGGTGATGTAAGATCAAACAACCATCTCGCTCTACTCCACGCTCTCTCCTACCTCTCTCCCCTCTGATCTCACTCCATTTCCCTCTTTGCAGTTTCCTACCCCTCCCCTCTCACTCTACACCCTCTAAGCACTCTCCGCTTCAGCAATCAAGGCCTTATTTTGAAGCTCCCTGTCAATCTCCTCTGAGTGGGAGGTCACTCATTGTATCCACTGTCTCGAACGCCCTTCTCCCCTACCTACCTACCTATAAACAATAAAATTCTCACGACGTTTCTTGTTGTGGTTTTCACACCTAATGATGATTGCTTGTGTTGCAGTCGAAACGTGCGTGAGAATTTTATTGTTTAATATTTTATTATTTTTATTTTTTCCCTTCTACGTGACTTTACCGAAAGAACCAAGAATTTGATTAAACGGTTTTGCTTAACTTGATTCAACGGTTTTACTTAACTTGATTCAACGGTTTTACTTAACTTGATTCAACGTTTTTACTTAACTTGATTCAACGGTTTTAATTAACTTGATTCAATGGTTTTTACTTAACTTGATTCAAACGGTTTTACTTAACTTGATTCCTGTATCGTGGTCAAATCTTGTAATCTACATTTCATCCACTTCCCGTTGTCCAATCATTTCCACATTTTGCGCACGTACTCAGATCCGGTGACAATGCATGCCTGTATCAATTAATCAATTAATTCGCTACTTTAAGCAATTTGCATTTTGTATGAACGCCTTATTAATTAAATGTATATTTATGTAGGTCAAAAACGCCGCGGTCCCTAAACTCTCGAATGGCCTCGCCCAAGAAGCCGGCGGCACGTGTCTCAGGCGCGCCTGCTCCGTGTCAACGAGTTACGGCCACCCTCACTCCACACAAACAAAAGTTGTACATTGAAGATTCATTTATAAAGTAATCAATTAATTCAAGTAAGCGTTGATGTGGGAGCAGGCGCCGCACCATTGACGTGCTTCTCGACCGCGAGTTAAACGAAGTTGTTAATAAAGCCGTTGTTTTTAAAGCAACTTTTTTTTAAAGGAGTTTATTTTACCTCTGCCTGGAAATGAACAGCTCTCCCTTCAAGGTACACATGGCCACTGTTTCTATACAGTGTCTGGAGATGTGCTAGTGTGAGGCTGTATAAATCCACATTGTTTTGATTGTAAATTGCCTAGCGACAGGCGCCTCTGCTTGTTGTCAGTGGACGCTGCAGAGTGGGACATGTTTTTGCTTTCAGTCTAGCTGCCAATAGTGCACATGTGATATAAATGAAAACACGCTGGGAGTGAAACAGGGAATCAATTCATGAATTTATATCGATTCTTCGGCATTTAATCGTGTGTGTCTGTGTGTGCGCAAGCGTCGATATGTTTCAATATCGTATCATCAGCGTGTTGTATGCGATATATTTACGTAACCCCCATAACCGCTACCATTCGCCGCAATGGTTAAAGACTAAAATAATCAACTCCTGAGTCGAACTGTAGGCTATCTGGTGACATTTCATCGCATCACTGAACGGTGGGTTCTGGTTGGGGCCGGTAGTGGGGCGGGGCGACATTGAATTTGTGGCTTAGCTACTGAGTGTGCAGGTGGTGCAACTGCACCAGCACCTAGGCACACGAGCTACGAAGAGAGGGTGGAAATCGGAGAGAGGGCCCCATTTAATCCTTTGCGGCCAGGGTCCATGCCAACAGTGCTAACGCCACTGTGTGGATTTGTCTCATCCCTGTAACAAAAACGCGGTATATATTTCTTCATTGCACAAAACCCGCCGCGGTTGGGGGAGAGAGGTTAGGCACGCTGGAGAGAGGCTCCAGTTCTGCCTGGATTTCTAAAAGGGTGCCAACTGCTGTTTGTTCTGTGTCCGTGTTGCTATTGCTTGACTGAGAGGGCACCTTCTCCTCTGGACCAATGACCGACTGTAACGTAGCCCCAGCTGGGGCGATCTGCTTTGCTGTGACGATCGTGTTTTTGCTCGGAGAACGCGTGTGTGTGATCGCTGCGACACAACTCAAACCAAGCCCCGCTGTCTCCTTTTGAGTCCCTGTCTCTATGAGTCCCTTCTCAGCTCTATGATTCAGCGGGGGGCATGGTGGTGCTGGACGTTCTGTGAAAAAGAGCTTCATAGCTTGTCAGATTTCTCCAGAATAAACAAAGATTCTGATTCCGTGGTTTGGGTCTGATTATTTGTTTTCGGGGAAATGTATTTTGTGACACCATGTCGTCGGGTTTCTTTCGATGTGGCGCAGAGGTCAGAGCGGCGAGCTGGCACCGCTGAGAGCATAGGTTCGAATCCAGGTTCAGCGACTCGTGATTAAGCGGAGTTCTCCAGCGTAGCAAGTTTGTGGTTTCAGCCCGCAACAAATGAACCCCATAGTATTACAAATAAATATTATATTTGATTTGGCACTTAATTTTGATAAATGCTACTTGTCTGCTTTTGTCATGTTTTGCTTGGATTGACATGCTATGACCAATCTTTGCATGCCATATATACAGTGAGGGAAAAAAAGTATTTGATCCCCTGCTGATTTTGTACGTTTGCCCACTGACAAAGAAATGATCAGTCTATAATCTGAATGGTAGGTTTATTTGAACAGTGAGAGACAGAATAACAACAACAAAATCCGGAAAAACGCATGTCAAAAATGTTATAAATTGATTTGCATTTTAATGAGGGAAATAAGTATTTGACCCCTCTGCAAAACATGACTTAGTACTTGGTGGCAAAACCCTTGCTGGAAATCACAGAGGTCAGACGTTTCTTGTAGTTGGCCACCAGGTTTGCACACATCTCAGGAGGGATTTTGTACCACTCCTCTTTGCAGATCTTCTCCAAGTCATTAAGGTTTCGAGGCTGAAGTTTGCCAACTCGAACCTTCAGCTCCCTCCACAGATTTTCTATGGGATTAAGGTCTGGAGACTGGCTAGGCCACTCCAGGATCTTAATGTGCTTCTTCTTGAGCTACTCCTTTGTTGCCTTGGCCGTGTGTTTGGGTCATTGTCATGCTGGAATACCCATCCACGACCCATTTTCAATGCCCTGGCTGAGGGAAGGAGGTTTTCACCCAAGATTTGACGGTACATGGCCCCGTCCATTGTCCCTTTGATGCGGTGAAGTTGTCCTGTCCCCTTAGCAGAAAAACACCCCCAAAGCATTATGTTTCCACCTCCATGTTTGAACGCTGGGGATGGTGTTCTTGGGGTCATAGGCAGCATTCCTCCTCCAAACACGGCGAGTTGAGTTGCTGCCAAAGAGCTCCATTTTGGTCTAATCTGACCAAAACACTTTCACCCAGTTGTCCTCTGAATCATTCAGATGTTCATTGACAACTTCAGACGGGCATGTATATGTGCTTTCTTGAGCAGGGGGACCTTGTGGGCGCTGCAGGATTTCAGTCCTTCATGGCGTAGTGTGTTACCAATTGTTTTCTTGGTGACTATGGTCCCAGCTGCCTTGAGATCATTGACAAGATCCTCCCGTGTAGTTCTGTGCTGATTCCTCACCGTTCTCATGAATCACTGCAACTCCACGAGGTGAGATATTGCATGGAGCCCCAGGCGAGGGAGATTGGCAGTTCTTTTGTGTTTCTTCCATTTGCGAATAATCGCACCAACTGTTGTCACCTTCTCACCAAGCTGCTTGGCAATGGTCTTGTAGCCCATTCCAGCCTTGTGTAGGTCTACAATCTTGTCCCTGACATCCTTGGAGAGCTCTTTGGTCTTGGCCATGGTTGAGAGTTTGGAATCTGATTGATTGATTGCTTCTGTGGACATGTGTCTTTATACAGGGTAACAAGCTGAGATTATTAGCACTCCCTTAAGAGTATGCTCCTAATCTCAGCTCGTTACCTGTATAAAAGGACACCTGGGAGCCAGAAATCTTTCTGATTGAGAGGGGGGTCAAATACTTATTTCCCTCATTAAAATGCAAATCAATTATAACATTTTTGACATGCGTTTTTCTGGATTTTGTTGTTGTTATTCTGTCTCTCACTGTTCAAATAAACCTACCATTAAAATTATAGACCGATCATTTCTTTGTCAGTGGGCAAACGTACAAAATCAGCAGGGGATCAAATACTTGTTTCCCCTCACTGTACCTGTGTCCCTCACAGTGACCTCATCTGCCATGACCAGGAGTCGGCAACTTGCGGGCTTCGGAGCCGCACGCGGCTCTTAAAGTGACTACTTCGTGACGTTGTTTATTAAGGACTCACCGTCTCGTTTTCACCAACACACTGCATTGCAGCTCTTGTAATTTAGATTTTTTTTTACCGAATTCTAAAAAAAGAAGTCTCCTCTTGTTATTTTGGTTGCCGATCCCTGGTCATGATCACTCTCTAGCACGCGGTTATGCACTGCTACCTGCAGAGTTCTGAATTAAAATTAAACCTGTGCATCCCGTGACCTCATGCCGACAGCACAATTGGGATTTACTGCAATTGCTATTGAGGAAAAGACAACCAAGGTTATTACGTGTGATCTCAGGTGGGTGACCTCAAGTAAGCGCTCTGTGCTGCTGTCTCAACAGCTCATTGAGCCGGTCCTTCTCCTCGTTCGTCCTTCCCCGCCCTCTCCCCTACCCCTTTCCTTGCCGTCCACAGACCTGGCACAAGGCTTGCTTCCACTGTGAAGTCTGCAAGATGGCCCTCAACATGAAAAACTACAAGGGCTACGACAAGAGGCCTTACTGTAACATGTAAGGCGTTTGCAGTGACGTGCGCTTGCACAAGCGCGCGTGGACACAACACGCACACCCACACGTGCGTGTGTACGCGTGTGCGCGCCTACACCCACGCACGTGTACTCGCACACACATGCATGGGTGTGCACATTCACACACACACACACATCTGCACTCACGTGCGTGCCTACATATACACACTCGCACAGGTGCGCACGCATACATATACACGTGTGCACACACCCACCAAATCACGCACAAAGACAAATATCCCCTGTATAGCCTTAATAGAATGTTGGGGAAAGTGCTGTTAGCAAGCACCTACGAAGGCCACGGGGTGGGTGGCCAGCACCACAGCTGGCCGCCTTTGTATTTCCAGTGGCGATGTTTACACACCGCACCAGGTACTCATTTGACGCTCAGTCGACATAGGGGAGGCCCAGGACCGGTTCTAATGATCGTCACTGGTGTTGGCCATGAGCAGGAATCGAAGCCAGGTCCCTGGGTTTAAAACATACATGCGTGGGGCATAGGCATTCGCACACGCACACATGTACAGGCGTTTGTGCAGGAATGTTTACCAAGTTCACTCATGAAACCTCGGCTTGTGGTTTTTTTCACCCTATTTAATATTAACAGGGTCCAGCAAGTTGTGTTCATTTAAGCGCCGTTGTCCTTAACGTCGGCCTTTGGGCTTGGGGGTCATTCGCATCGTAAATTTTTTAAAGGTGGCTGGCTGCCGGCGTTCAGTTGTCTGCACGCTCTCACCTCGGGGAACAAAGTTCATAGGTTCGGATCCCAGCTCAGTACACTGACAATTCTTGGCAAGGGCATTTCCTAACACTCCTACCACATACTCGTATGTGTGGGTATAATATTGAACAACCGTCACGACTCGCTAATTAGAATTGGTTCTTGCCCTTACCGTGCATAGATTGACACTTGTGTTCAAGAATTTGTTATTTTTCATTTATGCAAATTATATATAATTGTTTTGACTAATGGCATCAACAATACATACCAAAATAATAGATAATTGTATTTATTCGCGACCTTGATTCATGATGATTCAAATAAATATGCAGCAGTGAAACAGCACGTTATCATCATAATCATCCCCGATCGATCCACTGCTGGATGAAGGCTGCCACCATTCCTCATGTTCTTGCGTTATCACGATGCAGCTCTCTCTTAAGCCGATCTTTTCGCTCCATCTCCGTTGGGTGCCATTCCATGACCAGTCTTGTCCATCGGCCGTCACCTCTCCCAGTGGTGTTTCTGCCTCGGCTCGTTTGATTTGCCGGGTAGTCAATGTGACGTCCCTCACTTCCCCCTGATCTGTGTTCCTCTTTCTTATTCGAGCTCGTGTTCCAACCACTACACACACCGCTGCTGTACCCTCCCTTGTATACATTCCCTGCGTAAGCCATGCCATTGCAATAATACGTTACCTCTGTGCATGTGTCACGTACACACACACATATATATTTCAGCAACTGTCCCTTAGGATCAGATTGCTAGATATGAGACATGCTGTGCTCAGCCGATTGGGATCTCGGTCACTAAAAACTTGCACTCCACTCCTCCATCCGTCGTCCGTCCATCCGTCGGTGTCAGCTCCAGGTCGGGAGGTCGACGGTCAATGTGCATCAGCGCTTCGACTTTAAGAGCGCGCCTTCATCCAGCAGTGGATCAACCAGGGCTGATCATGATAATAATCTGTCTCAACGTGCCCCCTGATGAGCTGGCTCCAAACCTGCCACCACCATTTCCGTCTTTGTCTCTTGCTCCCCTTCTGCCTTATTCATTCCGAAAAGGGAGGCTCATCTTCCAGTGCTAGGCAGTGCCGATTCTTTGGTTAATTATGGGTATGATGACGAAGATGACAGCAGTTTCAAAGTGTAAGTTGCGTGAGTTTTGGGGGTCTGTGTTGGTCTGCCACGTCTGGTTATTGCTACCAGCCACTCTCACCCCACAAACCTCTTGCTGCTGCTGCTGCCGCTGTGTTCCACCGCCGGTCTCGTCTCCTCTCGTATGCAGGCACTACCCTAAGCAGTCGTTCACCTCCGTGGCGGACACTCCCGAGAACCTGCGCCTCAAGCAGCAGAGCGAGCTGCAGAGTCAGGTGCCCGCACACTCGCCGCACACCTACCCACGCATGCACCACGCATGCACACGCGTGTGCAGCCCAACCGTGCCGAGATGTTAACTACTTCGCCTGGTATGCAGGAGGTCGTGGGTTCGATCCCCCGACCCCGACGCCTGCTGCTGTATATTTGAAGTTTGCGTGTCTTTCATCCCGTGGTTGCGTGTGTTTTTCTTCGAGTCCTTCGGTTTTTCCCTCCACATTTAGAAACATGCCCTTAGAGTAATACAGTTAAACCTTGGATTGCGAGCATAATTCGTTCCGGAAACGTGTTTGTAATCCAAAGCACTCGTATATCAAAGCACTCGTATATCAGTTGTGATCACGTGACGCTCGGCAGACAAAGCGTATACACGTAAACTGCTCGTATTGCAAGACCCTCGCTCGTTTATCAAATTAATATTTATTTCAAATTTTTTTTGCTCGTCTTGCAAAACACTCGCAGACCAAGTTACTCGCAATCCAAGGTTTTACTGTATTTGCCTACTATAAATGTCCACGTGATAAGGCACTTTGTTGAGCTATCATTTGTGATAGCCAGGTCGCGTCTGAAAAAGAGCCATATAGCTCAGTGGGCCTTTCACTGCTTTCGTACGTTACAACCAGGGACTTTGCTGTACTGCTCTACAGCAGCCCATTCCTTTAGTATGCAGGCTCAACCCTGCTCAGCTCACGAGATCTCACGAGATCTCACGAGATCTGGCGCATTCTGGGTGATTGGTCAATGGCTCACACACTCATAACAACAAACAAACAACCCCTTGTGGCCTACATAGATTGTTGAGGCAAGTGCTGTTGATGAACACCAGCTGCGCACAAGACAATGGGTGTGGCCAGAGCTACACCCGGCCACCTTTGTCTCCCCAGTACAGATGTTTATACTACGTCAGATACTCATTTGAGGCCGTGTCGGTCGGTCCAGGACCGGTTCTGATATCAGTCGCCGCTGATGTGAGCTGTGGCCGGAAATCGAACCCGGGTCGCCGAGTTCGTAGCGCAGTGCGCCAACCACTGCACAACCACTGTCCCCACTTCTTATAATAACACGAACATTTTTGTATCCAGCCTCACTGAGTCTTAGTGACTATTTTTAGGAGCATGCTGCATGTGGATGTTTGGCCATTTTCTTTTTAAGCGGCGTATTTTTAATCAACTGTATAACCATGTCCATTGCAGTGATGTCCCATATTATCTGTTGTTTTCATGGGCACATTTATAGTTTGTTTAATTACGCCATCCCTCCACCGCTTCCCACACACACACACACGGACGCACGCACAGCCACGGGACACGCACGCACAGGGACACACGCGCATGTGCGCACGCACGCACACGAAACGCTGACGTCTTGTTGCACCATCCTCTCTCTGTCTCAGGTCAAGTACAAGGAGGAGTTTGAGAAGGCCAAGGGCAGGGCCTGCAGCCAAGTGTCGGACACGCCAGAGATGATGCGCATCCGCAAGGCGCAGGACCAGATCAGCGATGTACGTTACACGCGCGCGCCATCTGTGCTGCCGGTGCGCGTGCACAGTAGGCAGCACGGGAAGTGTGTCGGTCGTCTCAGGCGGTTAACCCACACTGGCTGGGCTCGTTCTCTGTGCCCTGTCGGCGAGCCTTCAACACGTCACATGGCCCCAAAGTGCACCAAACTCTGTGGTGACGTCACCGCCGATTACTGGTAAATGGCGGCTGTTGTGTGTGTGTGTGTTTATGACATGGGTATGAGTTCAATTCCTGCTACGGCGAATGTCTGAACCGGTCCCGGGCGTCCCCTAGGTCGACTCGGCCTCAAATTAGAACCCGGTGCGGTGTGTAAACATCACCACTGGGGAGACAAATGTGGCCGGGCGGTGTGTTGCTGGACATCCACCCGCTCGTGTGCCGTACCGGCCTTCACAGGTGCTACTCGCTAACAGCACTTGCCCCAACAGTCTGTTCAGACTATACGGGAGATGTTTGTCTTTTGGTGCTTACTGCATTTAGCTCCCAGCGACTTGAGTTCGATTTCCTTCCATGCCCAGCATCAGTGGCGAATATCTGAACCGGTCCTGGGCCTCCTCTAGGTCGACTCTGCCCTGAAAGAGTTTACCTGGTGCGGTGTGTAACACATCAGCACGAGCGAGACAAAAGTAGCCGGGCGTGGTGCTGACGGCACTGCCCTCCATTGTGCCCCTGCCGACCTTCACAGGCGCTCGCTAATGGCACCTTCCCACGCAGCCCACGAAGGCCACACAGCGTGTCACTGCGCACGGGGGCGTCGAGTGCCGTTGCAACGGGAGGGCGGGTGCACCGTGGACTTCGATGTGATTGCGTGTGCTGCTTTTTGCGATGGCAACTAGTTATTAGGCTCGCGATACGTCCACCGAATCATGCATGTCGGAATTGGGGGCAAATGAAACTGAGCAAATGAAACTTAAAGTTGGGACAAAAGTAAGAGATTATTGAATGGAATCGTGACAGTTCATTGCATTGACACACGTGCCATGACCCTTTGTCATGGCACGTGAGCCTGCTTGTAGTTATGTGCATATGTAGTTGTGTACATATCGATGTGTGTATGGAGTTGTGTCTTGCATGCGTCTATTTGTGTAACTTTGTATTGCCTTGTTTCTAAAAATGCGCGTAGCTTTGTAGGTCTTTGTATCCATTTTTGTATGTCATCATATGCGTAGCTGTGTGTGGCCGTACACGCGCATCGCTCTGCCCACCCTTGTAGCTATATATACCTTCCATAATACAGGTTTTTTTTTGGGTTAGATGGTGTAAATATAAATGTGTCGTTAAACCCGCCACCACCTGACACAGCCAAATTGTTAGTAAGGTTTGTCACATGCCAATTTGTTACTAGTACGGCACACCGCGCGTTGGAGAGCAAATCCACAACGTTTACAATCGACGCAATTATATTTACGCGATCTAACCCAAAAAAAAACCTGTGTTATGGATGATGTTGTTCGCGAAAGCTTACATTTCAAACTCTATGTACCTTTCGTGTGTATAGCTGTGCTTGTGTAAACGAGCATTTACTTGGCTTGCTGTGTGTCCAGTAATTATGTGTGTTGTCTGTGTAAATAGAGCAGCTGTCTCTATATCTCTGTAGGGCGTGGTGTTGGCCCCAACAGCCCGGGTGGCCCAATGGTAACACTCTTGCCTCACATCAAGAAGAGCCTGGGTTCGATTCCCTACTCGGGCATCTTTCTGAGTGGCATTTTTGTGTTCTACCCCTGTTTTATCCACATGGGTGACTCTCTGGGTTCTCCGGTTTCATCCCTTAATACAGGGGATCTTTGGGTCTTTGGAAACAAGTGTTGGGTAGCTGTATATGCAATTGTGTCTTTGTTTGCCTGTATGCTTTTGTGCGTGTACCTGTATACATTTGTAAGTTTATAGGTGGGTGTAGTAGTGTGGGGAGCGGTGGTGTAATGGTTAACACGCTGCGCTACGAACCCCGGTGACCCGAGTTCGATTCCGGCTCACGGCTAACACCAGTGACGCTTATCTGAACCGGTCCTGGGTGTCCTCTAGGTCGGCTCAGCCTCAAATGAGTACCTGGTGCGGTGTGTAAACATCGCCACTTGGGAGACAAAGGCGGCCGGGCATGGTGCTGGCCACTCACCCCCTCGTGTGCTGGTCCGGCCTTCATAGGTGCTTGCTAACAGCACTTACCCCAACAGTCTTTTTAAGGCTATACAGGGGTCTTTGTCTTTTGTGTGTAGTTGTATGTGTGTACCTGTACGTGTGCAGCTGCACATTTGCGGTTGCACGTGTTGCGGCCGCAGCAGCGCAGCTGTATGTGTGGCCGTGTGGTCTGAATAACTCCTTTGTTGAGAACCAGGTGAGAGCCCATCGAGATATATGTTTTTGTTCCCTTTTCACGCGAGTACAGGAAAGTTACACATTAGAAACAAATGTACATCAACTGCGTCTCACTTTAATAGTCATATCTGGCGGCATATGCTTTGGCATGTGTCCACACGTGTGTGTGTGTGTGCACGTTTGTGCGCGTGACGCACGTTTTTGGGCAGAATTTTTACTCTTGCGAGTGTGCACATACGTGTATACAATGACGCTTTGATCCTCGCTAGTTGAGTTTGTGTGCGAAAGTTGGCTCACCTGGTGTCACTGCCTGCGTACATGTGCGTTTCGTATGCGTGAATGTTGGAATGGACGTGTGTTTGTGTGTGCGTGCACGTGTCTGTGTTTTCGTGCACGTGTTCAATGTTGGTATGCCGTTATATTAGTGTGTCTTTATGTGTGTGTGCGAGCAGACGTGTATTGATGCACCCCCCCCCCCTTCCAGGGGATTGATGATTTGTCTCGATTCGACACAAGAATGAATTCTCTCGTCTTGTTTTTACTTTTGGGGTGTCTTTTATATTTCACTCCATTCACCTACATTTTACATTCGCTCATCATGCTCGCGCGAACGGTAAACGATCGATTCATGCAATGTTAGCGAAGAGCCATGGTGAAGGTAGCGCCCACTAGTGGTTCGCGGGGAGTCACGTTCAGTTCAGTTTCAGTTCAGTTTATTTTGGTATAGCCCTGTGAGCCATTCGTCTCTTGAATCGGGTGCAACCACAACAAAAAAAAAAACCAAAAACACGAACAAGAAAAACATCTTAAAGTGACTATGTGACTGTGCAAACAGAAAATCCATGGAAAAAAAACAGCAAAAAATCCCAGTGGGATTCAAGTCAAACAACAACAACAACCACAAGAAAACTTAGATTAAGGCCATCAGTCTAACTCCGTACTACAACAAAACAAACATGTCCAACCAAAAAACGTTTTCCAAATCACCAAAAAAATAAAGCCATAATTGCAACGTAACGGTGATCACAAGGACTGTGACCGAATTTTTACAATAAACTACATAAATAACATGTAACACCAAATCCTAGAGCAGTGCATATGAATCGGCAAATCATCGATGCCTTGCGCGTGCATTTTCTAAGCTTGGATGGTGAGCATCCGCGTCGATGTTCATGAATGGATGCGGCAGCATTGCGCGCCTGAGCATGGGTCAGAGCCTGCGTACGCTGTGTGCTGTTAGAGGGGCTCCTAAATGTTTCATGTTCACCCCCGAGGCTGGTATTTGGCCAAGTCGAGCCTGCCAGGTGTTCGATGCTTTGCATGCCACAAATTCATCCGAATGCCAAGCCTTTGCCAAGATTAATAGCCATCAATAAAAAATATATATGCAATATTGCATAATTTGTTTATTACATTTTATTTTGGAGTGTACAGTATAGAAATTGTTGTGTGCATGGGTGAAACACACGCACATATCACTGTGCCAAGCCTGGCTCACGTCCCTCTTGTTTGACCCATGCCATCGAAAAAAACTCACACCGATATCATGTTTCCATCATCATCAACAGCAGCAGCATCCATGATAAATCCACTGCTGGATGAAAGCCTCCCCCCACCCTGTCACCCTCCCGCATGGACTGCTACTGCCACGATCCATCTCATTCCTTGCACAGCAAGCATTTATATTGTTCCACCTGCATGGTGGACATCCTCGTGGGCACCAGCCTCGTCCCTCGGCCATGGGGTGCCACGGTAATGAGATGTTAGCTAACTCGCCTGTTATACAAGAGGTCTTGTGTTCGATCCCGACCCTGGTGCCTTGTATATTTGGAGTTTTCATGTTCTCTCTGTGGTCGTGTGGATTTTTCTCCTCCGGTTTTTCCCCACACCTTTATAAACATTCGTTTAGAGTATTTGGCTGTTATAAATGTCTACGTGATAAGAAGCCACTTCCTTGAGCTATCATTTGTGACCAGGTCACTTCTGAAAAAAGAGCTACATAGCTCCGTGGGTCTCATCGGGTAAAATAAAAAGTGTTAGAAATATTTTTTCTATTATTATTAACTCTTTGGAGAGATGTGTCCTGCCAAACCCACTGGCTTCTAACAGCCTGCATTGACGTATCTCGCTTGTTTCTTCAATGGTCCATGTTCTCCTCATTCTGCCTCTCGGCGCAATGCCACAGAATGTGTCGCCCCACACTTCTTTGGTGTACTTTTCAGCTTTTGCTACAATTTATGTATCGGTGTCCATGTCTCTGGACACCGATGAAGCTTTGTGAAAGTGGTGAATTTTTCACCGATTGAAACGTTCTTGTTCAGGCACATTGGGTTTTCATGATCAACTCCGGTTTCCCATTTGGTGACGTGACGACGGCGCGGTTTGCACACCGTGGTCACGTCGCACCGTGCGTTGCTGGTGTTGTTGACGCAGGCCAAGTACCACGAGGAGTTTGAGAAGAACAAGGGCAAGGGCTACGCGCCCGTCACGGACAACGTCACCATGGAGCAACAGCGGCGCAGCATGCACGAGGTCGGCAGCGACGCCGCTGCCGCCTACAGCCGCGGCAGCACCCGCTACTCGGCCGACGAGGGCGGCATGTACGCGCAGCAGCAGCAGCAGCAGCAGCACGGGTACCAAGGTGGCGGAGGTAACGGTATGCCATGGTCCCAACTGTGTGCGGTTGCGCGACAAGAGAGTCGCTCGCTTGCGAGGCGACGTGTGGTGGTGTGGGGAAAAACAAATATAATCACCTCTATTTTATAAAGCGCTTTCCATTTTGAAGTATCTCAAAGCGCTGTCTGTAAAAATAAAACTACACTCACAAATATAGATAAAATCTAAGCGAAATAGAAAGCTGATAATATCAATGACTCCTTTTGAAATTCCAATATAATGAAGAACTGTGGTCAAAGCAAATAATAATAATAATTGCAGAGTAATCCAATCAGACAACAGAATTATTTTTTAAATCTTAAGTTACAGGGAAAGCCTGTACAAACAGGTGAGTTTTAAGACGTTAATTTAAAAGTGACAGACTTGGAATCCCTAATGGACCCATGAAGGGGATGCCACAATCGCGCGGAGCCTTGCTGCAGAATGCTCCGTCTCCCGTAGAACATCACAATGTTGTACTCTTTGGTTCTTTCGGTAAAGTCACGTAGGTAGAAATAAAAAATAAAAAATAACATCACGACGTTTCGATCGCAACACAAAGCGGTCGTCCTCAGGCGGAAAAAATAATCCAGCAGTGGAACTGCTGAACCAGGAAGAACACAGCGAGAGAGCTGTTACAACAAGACATTATATATGTGGCGAAGGGCATGCAGGCGGGGTCTGAGCTGGAAAGCAATTCCATCCCTGCACGCATGCACATCAGTTGTGTTAATGGGGGAGATTAGGGAGAGAGAGATTCGAGAGAGAGATTAGCATGAAATGAGCTTGCGTCCCTGCCGTTTGGCTGTTATCTCCGACTCTCGAGAGAACCAAAGTGTATGGATTCCTGCAGTCACGAAAGCTTCAAATCAAGATCACAATGTTGTCTTTGGAACGACGAGTAGACCAGAATCAGCTGATCTAAGTTTTTGCAGTGGTATATAAAACTTGAGCAGGTTGGTGGAATATTTAGGAGCCAGCACGTTCAAGGCCTTAAAACGTGAGAAGCTTATAAAAGAACTATAGACACACGTTCGTCAATAACGTTGCCTTAAAATAAAAAAAAATACATGTCATAGGCGATGTTTCAGGCCATGACCCTTCTTTATAACATTTTTGTATATGTGCTGTGAAGAAGGGCCATTGCCAAACATTTTTCCTGTGATATATATTTGTATTTTCTCTTCAGGTCATGGTGTCATTGACGAATATGTAGAGATTTTTTAAATACTTTTTAAACCAAACGTGCGTTGGGCATGCAGTCAGCTGACGACAACACTGCCGCCCAGTTTATTAATCACAGGTGTGTCGTCAGTTCCGACTCAAAATCCACGAGCGTGGCGGGGTGCCGGCTCCTGTTTCCCCAGCCATCGGCGTTACGAGTCACACTTGCATATATACGTCGCGTTCTCCAATTTCCCTCGTCGCGCTTGCACCTGGTGGTGCGCGTGGCCCAACCGGGGGCGCGTTTGTTTAGCCGCAGACGTAATTCAACTCTGGTGGGCTGCGACGGCGTCGTGCCACTCCGTGCCGGCGCGTGTCTGGTCTCCTCTGCCTTGTTATTCTTGTTTGCCTGCATCCTCCCGTGTCACCTTTCTCTCCCACCGCTCTTGTGTTTTCAGCCTAAGCCCTTTCTGGTTTCTCCTTTGGTGCTGCTGCCTCTTCCTCCTTGCTCTCAAATCGTGTTTTATTAGAACCCACGGGTAAGACGAGCGAGGGAGCCGCTGTATTCGTACCTCTCCTTGCTCCGACGCCCGCCTCTTCCTTCCCTGTGCCTATTCATGCCCGAGCTGTCTCTATGACCTCTGCGCATGAAGCGCCCTTTTTCGTGTCGCTTCACTCCCTGAAAAAGTTTAGTTCCAGGCCTCGCTGCTCACATTCTCTCCCAAACCACAGTTTTTGTATGAAATGAAGTGGCAAATAAATTTTACAAAATGGTAATTTTTTTAATTTATTATATGATTAATGTAGCGTCCCTTAATCGATAAATAATATTTGTTGTTTGGCCAAAAATTTACGAGTTAATTTTAATTTTTGATTTAAAGCTTTCGTGACTGCAGGGATTCATATTCTTGGTTCTTTCGGTAAAGTCACGTAGAAGGGAAACAATAAAGTAATAAAAATATCAAACAATAAAATTATCACGACGTTTTGACTGCAACACAAGCAATCATCATCAGGTGTGAAAACCACAGCAAGAAAATTTGAAAAAAGTGGTTTTCACACCTGATGACGATTGCTTGTGTTGCAGTCGAAACGTGATAATTTAATTGTTTTATGTTTTTATTATTGTATTGTTTCCCTTCTACGTGACTTTACCGAAAGAACCAAGGATATGAGTTAATTGTAATTGTTTCATCTCAATATTTACGACAACCGGTGTGTTTGTCGTTTAAAGTTAACCACTTTTATGATGAAGTAAAAGATGTTTGACAAAGTCACGAAATCGTTCCTCAGCAATTACAGTGGCTCATTCACATGCAGCGCTGTTTTATATTTGGTAGAAAAAAGTATTTGTTATTTATTATGAAAACGACAAATAGGGCATGCACAGATTCACATTAAATGTCCTGTTTTTACGTCTCCTGATTTTTGTACAAATAAAAAATCTCAACGCATCCTTTAATAGCACTGTCTTAAAACACAAACGCATACAATAGGCAACGTTTCAGGCACCGAGCCTTATTCACAGCACATAGAGACGACAGAGAGGTATAAATAACAATTAACAAGTTAATTGATTCAAGCATGAAAATTTACACATCCCATTTTTAATCCGTGTGTTTTAACTCGCATTTATACTTCTTCTGAATGTCCTCTTTCTGCATTAATTTTTTATTTTAAATACTGAATTTGGAGGCTCGATTAAGCTCTCCTGGATAAGCACATCTATCATCACACACGCAACTCTTAACGCGCGCGTACAAAGGCGACCTTCTTGACACTTGCACGCAAATGAGCGGACACTGACGACCGGGTGCAACTCACCGGACCTGGAACACTTTGAACACAAAATCAGTTCGCAATCAACTGCATGGAGTAAACCAACTGCAAAGATCGCGACGAGGCCCTTTGCCGATGGCCATCGCCGGTGGGGTTAACGCGTGCGTGCGTCCTCTCCGATGGCCGTAGCGCTTGACTTCTGTCAACACTGTGAACGTCTCCATCCCCCTGGGCCCGCCTGGGTGGCTGCTGCGCGCGACGTGCTCATTGCGTCGTCTCCTGCTGCTGCTGCTGCTACTGCTGCTGCTGTCCTCGTGCTCTGTGGTGCACACCCCAGGTGGTCCCCAGCATGGGCAGGGCTACGTATCCTCCGCCGCCTCCTCGCAGCAGCGGCCGGTCTCCCAGACCCCCAGAGCCACGGTGAGAGGAGCCTCGCCACGCTGCACCCACCGCACAACCCCTGACCGAGCCGCAAAGACATTGATCCCCCCCTCCGCCGTAGCCTTAACAGACTGTTGGGGCAAGTTCTGTTAGCGAGTAGCACCTATGAAGGCCGGCACTGTGGCACACGAGGTGGAGGTACGGGTCGAGATGAAGATGAGGATGGCGATGAGAAATATGGGGGGCGGAGGCGAGGACGAGGCGAGGGGGGAGATGGCATTGGGCGTGGAGCAAGACAGCAGAATGCTCACACGTGTGTGTACTGTATACGAATAGACATTGATACATATGCAGTATATGTGTTGTTGAACTTTTTTCGCACCGTACATAGCCGACAGTGCTGGTCGGAGGTGCGCATACGTGTACAGATTGACATACAGACACATGCATGTTCCTTACTAAGCACAGAGCTCTGTTCAGCTTGTGCATTTCTGTCTCAGCAGTCTATATGGGTATAACCCGTATGTATTCGTTTAATCTGCATGCATATGCCACGTATATACACACACAATAACATACACATGCACAAGCACACATATGTACCGTACACATTAACAACACACATCACACATGCATACCTATTTACAAGTATGTATATCAATACAAGCGCTGTTAGCGAGCAGCGCCTAGGAGGGCCAGCATGGCACACAAGGTGGTGGGTGGCCAGCACCACGCCCGGCTGCCTTTGCCTCCCCAGTGACGATCTTTTTACACACCGCACCAGGTACTCATTTTAGGCTGAGTCGACCTAGGGGAGGTCAGGAACAGGAATCGAACTCGAGTTTCCGGGTTCGTAGTGGAGCGTGCTAACCGCAGCACCACCACTCCCCACATTGCCGAGCAACCCACACTGTCACCCCACACCGCCGACCCACACCGTGCTGCCGCACTGCACTGCATCACCACTCGCGTCTCGCCACCCCAGTTCAGATATCGCGCTCCGCTGATGTTAGCCATTGAGCATGGTTGGCTATGTACGGCGCGATAGAAGCCCAGCGTGCATGCGTGCATAGCCGCGGCCGCGAATCGCGCTCGGGTCGCCAGGGTTCGTAGGGTTGGCGCGGTAATCTGCCGTCGATTCGTACGCGCCCCACACGGCAGCGCGCGTTGACGTCGCCGCGAGAATCGCCGCGGTCACTCGGCACGTGGCTCACGTCATTTGAACGAGCGCGTGTGACGACGCGCGCTCACCGGGGTGCGTGCGTGCGTGCGTGCGTGTCCGTTGGGGGTGCAGAGGCCGTACCGCGCCGTGTACGACTACGCGGCGGCCGACGACGACGAGGTGTCGTTCCTGGACGGCGACGTCATCGAGAACGTGAAGCAGATCGACGAGGGTTGGATGTATGGCACGGTGCAGAGGACCGGCCAGACGGGCATGCTGCCCGCCAACTACCTGCAGCCGCTGTGAGGGGGCGAGCCCATTTTTGCTGGCGAGGGGCGCCGTGCTTCGACCCACAAGCACCGAGTTCCACTGAGAATCGTTTAACTCCTCTGACGGCAATAGTCGCAGCACGGCACCACACCGCTTCTAAACACCGCCGCTGTACCCCGCGTCATTACACGTCTAACGTCGCGACCACCGCTGCTTGTAACACCATCGTTTCACCACCAACACCTCAATAACCACCGCTGACCACTACATCGTTACCACTACGTTCCCAGCAACACCACCGCCATCGCTCCACTCTCAGCACAACACGAGAATATCGACTGAGTCTCTACACAGGCGTCATTACAGTCTAATGTCACGACCACCACTGCTTGTAACACCATCGTTGCAACACCCTAACCACCACCACCAACTACATCATTAACACCACGTTCTCAACACCACCACCGTCACCGCTCTACTCTCAGCACAACACGAGCATATCGACTGAGTCTCCAAAGCGCCAACCCTCGAACACGAGTCCCTGCTCTATGTTACTGTGAGGCCGGGGGGTCGGGGGTCGGGGGGCGGGGGGTGCTGAATTGAAATGCTTCGTCGCAAATTTTTTTTACATTTACAAACATTTTGTTAATTTGCAGACCAATGAACGGTTGATATGTCTTTTTTTTCTATCTCGGCGCAGTTTCTAGAATAACGCAAAAAATAATATTCTGTGATTCATTGATCTTCACTCTCTCGGTGCGTTGAGGCAAGCTTGGAGCCGCATCCCATTGACAGCGCTGGCTTCAAACAATTGACACAACGCACGAATTGTCTTAAAATAATAATGATTAAAGAGCCTTAAGTGCCAGGGCCAACTATAGCAACAACATGATTCCTTATTCTCTCCAATTACTTTAATGTAGTTTACGCTTTAATCCTTAAAAATATATGAACAGTTTTTTTTTTTAAGTCAGGGCTTACCAACGTTATTTTTCTTTTCAGACTCGTAGTTTCCAAGTTGATTTACAAAGTTGCATTTAGCATATTAAGACCGACGTAGAATTTTTTTTATGCCAGCCTTTAATAAAAAATAAACTTAATATAGCAATTTGTTTTTTTTATAAATGAGAAAACAAAGTACAGCAAAAGCTCTGTGATCTGGCATCCATGGGCAATGCAGGGTGCCGGTTCATCAAATATTCCCGTTTATCTGAGATTTATACTCACGGTTCACCAAATTTTCCAAGTACATTAAACTTCTAAAGAAAGAAACAAAGTCCTAATTTTAACGATGATGTAAGACACAATATGCTCAATTTACAGAGGGACTTTCCCTGTCAGTTGTTGAGCATTCTAAGTTGATTGTAGAGAAGCAGGGGACAGTTTAAAGCACAGTGGTAGAGTGCTGTATGTCGCTAGCGCCAACACTCGGCAGCATCCTGAAGCTTCCGTAAACAACAACGGATCTACGATAAGTGCACGCATGGCAAGATGCCAGATGGCTGTCGTATTTTTTTCCGGATACGTTATAGATAGATTTGTATTTCCGTCTGTGACAGATGCCGGTTTATTGAGCATTCCGTATGGTACAGTGGCGGATAACAGAGATGTTGCTATCTACTTGACCACTGGCGGAGCCGGTGGGGTGGCACGTGCTCCCCAAATTATCTGATCGAAATCCCTAATTTCGATCGGATCATTGGGGTTTATTAGTAATAAATCGGCATTTTGCGACTCCCACTGCCACTGTGTAGCATAGTATTAGGTGCCAGGGACTCTATGAGATGATAGGACAATAGTCTGAGTCCATAATTGGCAATAGGTAACAGCAAAGCGGTTATAAGTGACTCACAGAATTGTGCGCAGTTACTTATACAGTACACGACTTCCCTGAAGGCATTCACCTTCAGCGAGCGCGACCCTCGATCGATGGCTGCACCATCGCCACACACACGTCGAATAAAAAGCAAGGGACAAGTCCTTACTAACAACTCCTCTATCATTTTTCATTGCTGGAGGGGTTGCCCCCCCCCCCACCTGAAAACAATGGACTGTTAGTTGGTCTTAGCAACGTGCACAGTTTGCAGTTGTGATGATTTGGCAGGGTCAGAGGCCGTGTCGGTGTGAGATTCTCCACTGGCTCAAACTCGCAAACTCCCATCGTGCTTTGATTCGCCGCTGTTTTTTTTTTCGGTTTGGCCACACACGTAGTAATGATCTGGCCAAAATGCGTGTCGTGAGGCCCTCCGCCACCCGCCACGGCCAAAACAAATACTTTCATCACACGGTGTACCAGCATTTGTGGTGCCGTGCCAGTCAATTGAAAAACACAACGCCTTCCGTGCAAGTAAACGGATGAGAGATGAATTTAGCTTCATTTTCCTGAGTTGCTCGTAATTTGTTTTATTAGCCAGTCAGTTGATAAAAACATAGTTATTTTTAGATTTACTACATTATTTCTGAAACATTCCATTGCAGTCAGACAGGCTTCGTCTGACCAAGTTCATCGCATATGCGGACTCGCATGCAGACGTTATGAAGCGCGCCTCTCCCCCCTGGTGGTTTTAACCAGCGGTAGAAATTCCACATTTCTATGGTGGGGACCAGTCTCTCCGGAAGACATCCACTGCTGACTTTCCACAAGGGATTCACTTCTCTCTTATCCAACCCGGAGGGATGATGTACCGAATCGATCCCTGAGATCTGATCTTGCATCCTTCTGATTGCATGCCCAATGCTCTAACCGCCGTTGCACAACCTGGACGGATGTCTTAAAGTTCCTTCGGGGGGAGGCCTTCGTCCGGCAGTGGATTGCCAAAGGGCTCTACTCTTATTTATTAATATTAATTAGACTCGCACACACTGTGTTTTGAGTTTAATGCCTACAGTGAGTGTGGCCTATGTTGCGGTGGACACAAACAATTGTGGGTAATAAAGCAGCTGTCTTGGTGCTCAGTCCTGGGACACAAACTCTCCGTGTTCGTTGCTGGCAGCTTTGGCGTTTTGGGCTTGATTTAAAAACAAAACACAACGATTCTGCGCCTCGCGCCGGTTCGATGACTCGCCTCACTGGTCGATTCACTCGTATACGTGCATGTTTTGTTGTTGCCATTTTTAAATGTGTAGCGCCTTGAGTGGGCTGCAGGGTTCACACGAAGGAATTGCACGCAGCGTCTGTGAATAGAAAACAAACAATGGATTTCTCAGCACAGGCAGGTCGACACGTGCATCGCGAGCGCAAGAATCTTGTTTTCGACTATGATGCGTCGTTTGCTCCCTTTAGATCGGCGTCAAATTTTGGGAGACTAAACCCGCAGTTTCGTACAGCTTTCTGCATGTGTGCCTACCAATCCCACCACTTGCGTGCAGTTGCTCCCCCAACTCCAAAGTGCCGTTTTAGAAAACTTTTACATCGAGCATTATTGGGTAACGGCATTTGCACGTGCGGAACGTTTGCTGAGAAAACAAAAAAAGGTTACGCGTAAGTTATCTGTGAAGTCGGGAGGCAGGTTTGGCTGCAGCGATGATATGTTTTGGATTTTAAAAATGCGTGCTTTACTTGCCAGGCCTCACAATGGCGGAAGGTCACGTGTTCAATTTGCTGAACAAGGCTAGAAGGCATTTGGCTTTCACACAAAGCAGAAAAAACTCGCTTATTCTCAATTACAGTTTTACCATTCCAAATTTTAACCCAACTGGTGCCTCATGTGCATGCTGAACAACATTCCATCGGCTGTGTAAATGTCACCCCTTGCTGCATGAAACGAAACGTTTGATGAAAAAAAACGGACGTTTTAACAAAAAGTAGTATTTCTCACTCAACACATTTTTTTTTAATCTTTGCTTATATTAAATAGTAACGAATGAAATGGTAAGAAATATATATTTACATTCCTGAATTATAAACTTTTGACTTTATTTGCAATGTGTAGCTCTTAGTTGTACTGCCATATTCTGCGATGTAGCATTCAGGGCTCGGGACGTGGTGGGGAACTTTGTGATGAATTTAGACCAACTCTTCAGGGTTCCAAATCTCCAGACAGACCAGGTGTGACCAGATGTGACCCTTTCCTGCAAGATAGTCCATGGGCCACAGAGTAAAAATCCGCACCACCTCTACGATAGTGCCAATTTAATTTGCTCGATGAACCCCCACTCGTTCCAAATGGTTACCACATAATTCACCGTTATTAGCCAATGTAGAAAAATTGAAAATGAAAATGTGATTCCACCTGGGAGGTGGTCCCGTCATGTCAGATATCCGTTCTGGGCTCGTGGACTAAGAAGTCTTGCCAAGTGATGCCAACTGCGTCGGTCGTTGACTTGTACCGCCTCTTCACCGCTTGGCAAGACTTAAGATTGTTTAAACCTGCGTCTCATGGCGTAATCGATATGCTTGGTTCACCTTCACGATGTGAGTTGTCCATCAAAGCTAAAGCTGTTGTACATTAAGCCACCAGTGGTCGTCGTTTCTGTCACGGGCATTCAATTCTTGGGGTCCCGCGGTGGCTAGGAGATGTTAACTACCTCGCCTGGTATGCAGGGGGTTGTGGGTTCGATCCCAATCCTGACGCCTGTTGTATATTTGGAGTTTGCGTGTTCTCCCCGTGGCCGTGAGGATTTTTCTTCGGGTCCTCCGGTTTTCCCCTCCACATTTAGAAACGTGCGTTTAGCATATTTGGCTGCTATAAATTTCCACATGATAAGCCACTTCGTTGAGCTATCATTGATGGCCAGGTCGCTTCCGTTAAAAGAGCTATATAGCTCACTGGGCCTTACTTGGTGAAATAAAAAATAGTTTGACTTTATAACCTCATATATTCTTTCTGTTCTAAACGCACGTCGTTCCAATATTGAACGAGCTTTAGCCGACACGTTTAGCAATCTGTGCTAGTCACGTAGGTAAAAAAATAAAACAACAAAAAATCACGACGTTTCGGCCACAACACAAGTGGCCTTCATCAGGTGAAGGGACCGGACTGTCCAGAGGACAGCGTTGGAGTGAAAACAGCCAAGCCCAGGTTGCGTCCTTTAAGCTGCGTGGGAGGAAACAAAGGACGCGACCTGGGCTTGCCTGTTTTCACTCCAACGCTGTCCTCTGGACAGTCCGGTCCCTTCACCTGATGAAGGCCACTTGTGTTGTGGCTGAAGCGTCGTGATTTTTTGTTTTATTTTTTTAACCTACATGACTTTACCGAATAAAACCAAAGAGTATGGATCCTTGCAGTCACGAAAGCTTCAAATCTAGAATCTGTGCTCAGTTGTGAGCCTGTGTTGGCAGCAAAGCTGTTTCCGCTGATATTCATCAGAGAAGTGGCCACAACCGCCACCGTTTGTAGTAAATTTGGGCCGTTATTTTCCGTTTTAAATTGGCGGAAATGTGCCTTTCCTCCATCATATGAATCCGCCTCAGATTTCCCGAAACGTACAATATGACCACGAACTGGTGTAAATTGTTCACCCAAGCCTACATACACAACAGCCCACGAAGCCCAAAATGTTTAACTGATAAATTAGTGCGATTGATTGCCGAAGTTAGTGATCCATATGAGGGAGGACAGAAAGACCCAGTCCAGGTTTTACATTTTTTTTTATTGCAGCATTGTGTTTGGAATTAAGACGGGAAGCACTTTGTATTTCAACAAAAAACCAGGACCGGATCTCTCTGTACTCTAAACCTGGAGCACTGTCGTTGCCACCACCCCACGCCTTCAGCAGGGACAGCTTTTCCTGTTACTAAATCGCCTAAAAACACCCAGTCTCATCAGATGCGTGAAGCTAAGCAGGGCTCTGCCTGGAAGCTGCCTTAACTACACTCGGTGTTCGTATGCGCGGGCTGCGAGGTGTACAAGAAATGGCAGTGCAGCAGCGGATTCTCGAATCTTCCCCTGCGGAGCTTTTACTATGATCCTCGCTTAAGGTGTGGCCCGGTGGATTTCCTCCGGGTTCGCCGGTTTCCTCCCACGTGAAGCCAAAACGCAAGTACGTGGAATTGGCCAAACATCCCAAATGCAGAGCCTCGCTGCATTCATCGGATTGTAAAGGACACAAATCGGTCCGCGGGTTTCAGTACCAGCGCAAAAATGAAACGGCAACC